GCCTATAGCATTTTTGCCTAGGTTGACTGTATGCGCTTGATAGTATCAAAACTCAAACTGACTTCCCTGGAGATCCCTCATTGGCCAAGGCACTGCCCTTTATGACCCTTCTTTCATACAACATGCTTTTAACATTGGATAGCAGTGCTGTGTGTGTGTGTGTGTGTGTGTGTGTGTGTGTGTGTGTTTCTCTTAAACATTCTCTTTTTTCTCCAATTATCTTGACTATGAATATTTCTACTTGAGCAAACATTTCATCATTTTATTTAGAGTTTGAATTGAGTACAAGGTACTGGGCTGAGATCTAATGACCTGGAGAGGAAAAAGCATGCACAGGTTGCTTTCACAATGCCTCTCTTGAACCCAGGTTAGACGGGTAGTAGCTATTCCCTCTTCAAGCACAGCTGTTCACAAAGAAGGAGTGAGTCCCTTTTCTGGAATGTGCTCCAGTTACCTGAGACCCTGGAGTTCTTGTCCAGATAGAGACAAACCTGCTCCTAGGACCTGGAGGATTTTCTTCAGGTCTATAACCTTCTGTCCTGGGCTTGAGGACTGGGGCAAGAAGCCACTGATCAGGGACTGGCAAGGGCAGAACTTGGATGAGAGAATCAGTGTGTTCTGTGGACATCTCCATCAGCTAACGCAGAATTTATACAAATCTAAAAGTTATAAATTCAAACCCATTCTCCTGCTTGCTTTGAAGGCACCCAAGTCTGTTAAATTACTTTAGACCAGTTTCCTTGCTTTTCATTAAGCCCAAAACATGCACCTCTTCCCTACCCTGCTCTGAACTGCATCCATAGCCCTTAGCCCCACCTCCAGGCATTCCTCTACTTCCCAGCCTAGCAGGTGGTTTCATCTCTTTGTGAAGGCACACTTTTCTCTCATCTCTTCTTGCTGCTTTCTATCTAGCCTCAACCTTTCAGCCTGAATCTGTTTCCTCTCACTTGGTCTTCAGCAGCAACAGAGAAGCCTTCCTGACTAATTGGGGGAAGCAGAAAATCTCCCACCATCACCACCATCCTCCATACCTGTCTTTCTGAATAGGTTTCCAACCCACCGGCTGTTTTTAAACCTGCTTCTTTTTTGTTCAGATAATAACGAAATTCACTTGTGTTCATCTTCTGTGTGTTCTTGATCTCTGTCAGGTCCTGTGATGTCTGGGTTAGATTGTGACATCCTAGAAGCCTGGGCCACATCTAACGTGTGTCTCTAGCTCCTGTTCAGCAAAGCAGCAGGCCTAGTTGGCTCTTAATAAAGACTTTGGTGTTGGAAACAGAGGAACAGCACTCTGTGCCTAGAGCATTATATATGTTAAGAGAAACCAGCCACCACAGTACCAGCCCTCCTGCTAGCCTGTGAGCTGGGGCACACTTTGACAAAGCAAGGGAGCTCTGTCTTACATCGGAGAGAATAATAACATAACAGAACACAGTCACAGCTGCTCTTGTAGTATTGACTGACTTGGGGTTCAGAGTCATCCCACAAAGCAGGGACTGTTGTTAATGTACAAAGGAGGAATCTGAGGCACAGTTAGGCCATGTAATTAGTTCATCACTCCAGTAAGGGCCATCTGGCTTCAGGCAGCCTCAGCTTACCAATCACAGTCCACTGTTCTTCTAGGAGGGTTAGACAGCACTAGCCACCTGAAGAGAGTGGGGGGATATGCAAAAGCCCCTGCCACAAACTCTCGGGTTGTCTTTGAACATGGTCTTACATGAACAAATGGCTGAGAGGAGAATAGAATGGCTACTCAGGAACTTTACAGGTTCTCAAAGCATTTATTCATACCCTATCCTTCCTTCTCCTCCCAGAACCCTCTTCTATTTCCCAAACATTCTAAGTCTGCTCACATTTGGATTTCTGAGTTTGCTGTTTCATGCAGCAAGAATGCTATCCCCAGATCTATCCCCTGTCGGGTCCTCCTCATCATTTAGGTGCCAGCTTGGATGGAACAGTCTTAGAAGGCTCTTCCTGTTTGTCCTATCAAATGTGGATATACTTGTCTCATTCCTTCCTCTTCATTTGTGACTAACTCTTTTTCGTGTATGGTCTTGGTCTTACTTGTTTTCATGGTAGTCTTCCATCTGAAATCACTTTTGTTTATCTACAAGTTCGGTTGCCAATTTCTGTGTCCCCACTGGAAGGCCAGCTTCAAGACAGCAGAGATCTCATCTGCTTTTGTTCTCTCACAGATACTTAGCACTGGAGCTACAGCACCCTGTGGCTTCTAGCCATTTGTCACATAAGTGCGTGAGTGAATGGATACAAAGTCCTTTGTGGAAACCTGCGAATGTGAGCCTAACTGAATCTCCCTCTAACCCTTCACTGCATTACTGTAAGCACTTTGCAAGAAGAGACCAAATCTTTATTTTTGTCAATCTTTTGGATCCTAGAGTAGTAGCAAATGAGAGTGTGGTGTGTGTGTGGGAGGGCAAATTTTTGGTTCCTTTGTTTGGACAGGGGAAAAAACAAGCCATTCAGCTATTCAGATTGCAGATCATTGCTCTCCTAGACTAGGGAGAGACAACTGCTTGATAGTGTGCACTCTCTGTCTCTCTTTGTCTCTGTCCCGCTCTCTCAATTGAAACTGAAATACAGAAATCGCTATCTGACCACTTCTCCATTTCCCTCTTTCCTTCTCTATCCCCACCTGTCCTCTTTTCTCTTTCTCTAGAGTGCTCCCAGCTTCTCTCCTTTGTTTTCCTTCCTCATTTAAATTATGTAAAGAAAAGTGAAAAGAAAGTGGAAAACCATGTTCCCCTCATTTCTCTTATTCCCACTATAACACATTCCCAGTAAAACCACTTGGCTTCTACAAATAATCCCTCCCAAACACGATATCTTTTTTCCCCTTTTTCTTTCTTTAAGACATGGTTTTCCTATGTAACCTTGGCTGTCGTGGAGCACACTCTGTAAACAGGCTGGCCTCGAACGCAGAGATCTGCCTGCTTATGCCTCCCAAGTGCTGGGATTAAAGACATGCGCCACCACCACCTGGCCAATGATAATCATTTTTAAGAATGCTTGATTTGGTTCCATCCTGATGAAGGCACAGCCCCTCCCACATAATAAGAGAACCCATTCCTCCGGTGATGTTTGTTAGCTTTTTTATTCAGAGCTCCATTTATAACGCATAATGAAGATGATGAACAATAACAACAAAAGTTCCCAACCCTTGATCAGACCTTGTGCCACAAGAGGGCATTTTAGAGTATTACTAATGGTCCTTTTTTCTTCTTCTTCTTCTTTTTCCAATAAAATGCAGCTTTTGTATGATGGAAAAACATGGTAATAATATGCTAATCCCTTACTAGGTATTTTCACACTTCTGGGCTCTCCTACAAAGAATGGGTATGGAAAGCAAGTGCTATCTCGTGGAAATTGGAATGGAGGCCTAAAGGCATAGAGTTATTTGAAGAATATTTCACAGCAGGTGAAATATTATCTCCGCACACGTTCCAAGACTTGCTGTTTTCTAGAGACAAGAGAGCTCTTGCCAGAAGGCACACTTCCAACACCCCCTGTGATATGCACACATGTGCCAGCCCATATGGGAGAAGGAAGAAATAGTTTAGGAAGTTAATAAGCAAAATCACTCTATGTTTTGGAAAAGCTGAAGTCCCTGAATGAGACAAATCCTGACCCAAAGTGGGGCTCACTTCACTATTAGCCACAGACCCACGCAGCTTCTACAGAAGTTCTGTATTGGTAATGGAACAACGTGCTGGAAGAAAGACACTGAGTGGGCAACCTGGACCTTCTCACCCACCAGCATTTCATTTGCCGCCTCAGGTAATCATAGTCAGAAAAAGGAGGAGCCCAACCCTCAGTCTCTCAGAGATACATGTTCACTACTTCCTTTCATGATGCCTAGGCTGTAGCTCCAGGCATCACCAGTCCCTAAGTGCTTTGCCCATTCAGAGACAAGAGAGGAAAAATGAATGAAAATGTCAACTAAGCCTGCATTTCATAGAGTAAGCAAGAAGGGGGCTTGTCAGGAGCACCAATGTGGCATCCTTCAATCAAGAACACCCAGAATCTCTCCCCTTAAGAGACTGCTAAAGAGGTCACTGAGGTAAACACAGAATCCTGCCCACATCCCTAGCAAATGTTCCCTCTCCTGCATCACTAAGGAAACCTGATTTCCAGGTGAGCCTTTTCTTCCTGGGACTCTTTATTACGTGTTTTCGAAATTCAGGGACCTTGTGAATTAGCACATCTATCTAGTGCTGTGAGCACCAGACAACTGGTAGAGTATTTAGGGGGTGTCTGTGGAAATCTGAATAGATAAGGAAGGGAGAACCCGCCTGACTTGAAAAAAATTTGTCCAGGGCCATGGATGGGGAGAGTGTAAGAGAAGGAGAATAGATCTGGCAAGGTTCTTTCCCAGGGTCCCTTAAACTCACTCTGGTTTAGATTATCTGCTTCCAACCCAGGAACATCCAAGATCACCAAGAGGTGTCTTGGCAAATTGAGGTAGCCTCGAAGGAAAAAGAAAGAACCAAACAGGATTCTTGTACTTAACTTTATGAGAATAAGAAGGGAGAAGATAATCTTGACCACAATTTCAGGAAAGGAGGAAATTTGAATGTAGAACTGAATATGGGCTGGGGGTGGTTTTACCAGCAAGAAACCGGCTGAAAGTGTTTTAAACAACAAACATGACGGTCCCTCTGAGTCTCCCCTCTTCACTGGATCTTCTGTTCTGAGTGCTTAGCAAAGTTTGGGGATGGGATTGAAGAGACTTGCACTGGGGATGGGGGGGTGGGGGGTGGGTTTGCAGCATCCAAGTGCAACTGAGCTAGTTACCAAACAGGTTCCCTCAGGCACCTATTGGTCAAGCTTCACCATAAGAAACATCACTGAGAAACTCCAAACACTTTACTGTCCCTGACACTAGAAACAGCATAATAGTTCCCTGGGGCAAACAGTTTCGTGGCAATCTGCATGGCCTGGAGATACCACACACCAAAGCAGGGGAAATGGAAAGGACTCACCTGTTCTGGTCCCTGGAAACAGATGCGGCAGAGGGGAGTCCTCATACCACTGTCCAAGCTACTTCCTAGAGAGTAGCAGTCCTCAGCTTTCTCCTTACAGAATTCGTCGGAGGAAGCACTGCTGAGCAGGGAGGCAGGGGGCCCTGTGGCTGGGCCATCCCAGTCATCTTCCACAGAAGGAGGCAAAGGAGGTGGAGGTGGCAGGGGAGGGGTCTCCCTTCCCACCGCTTCTCGGGGGCCCCTCCAGCCTGCCCACCCCCCGGCCCCCAGAGCCGGAAGGGTGTTGTTGTTGGCCGCCACACCAGGCAGCTGGGGGTCGCCGTGCATGGGCAGGGGCGCTGGAGGGGGGCGCCTCAGTAGGAAAACCTTCAGGTCATTGAAGAGCATTCGGCAGCGGCACTTGAGGAGACCCTGGTGGCGCAACATCTGGGGATCTGGGGTGCACAGTCCACAGCAGCACCAGCCACAGCAGCAGCACCACCACCACAGCAGCCCACCCAGGGGCATGGGCATGGGATGGGGAAGCAGAGGACTGGAGAGGGGCAGCTGGAGTCTTCGAAGAGGTGGCTAGGGTGGGGCTTGGGGTCCACAGTGTTTCTGTGTTATGGAAGAACCTTCATTCTTATTGGCTCTTCTTGTAACCCCTCCAAGCAGCAAATAAATTACCCCCTAGACTGACAACTGTGAGTCAATGATTCTGAACGCTCCTAAGAAAATGCAAAGTGGAAAAAAGTTTTTCTTGCCCTGGCAGCCCCACCCCAGCCTCAGACTTAGTTCTGGCTGTTGTCTCCTTTCTGTCTTTGACCCCAGAATACTAGGAGGGACAGGGCAATAGAAGATGCATCAGGGCTGGGATGTGTGACCAATGTCTACTTGTTAAAAGTTCCCCAAAAAAAGGATTGCTAGATTCTTCTCAAATCTCTGGGCTGTGGTAAATCTCCTTTATATAAAAGAGAAGGTTATAAATCAAATTTGGAGCAGCTAGATCTGGGCTTGGGGAAACCAGCTCAGTGAAGAATCAAAGATTGCACGTGAGAGAGAAAAGATAGGCTTCCTCAGGTGTAAGAAGTGGTTGGGGGAAGGCAAGATGAGGAGGGGGAAGGTTAGGAGAAGTTCTAATTCTCTTGGGCAGAAAACTGGGGCAATTAACCCCCAGTAGCACCAGAGTTGCTTTTAAGAGAGGAATCGGGGACTGGTTGCAGATGAAATTGGGCAAAGAGCTTGTGCTTTGCCTATGCAGCCAAAGGCTACACGGAAGAGGTGGGATATAGGGCGGTGGACCAGAAAAGGATGGAGGAAAACAGATCCTTAACCCCCGAAGGGTTGCTTCCTTCCAGAGCTTAAGGTCCTGAATAGAGGAAGGGTGTGTTTGGGAAAGAGAAGGATAAAGGAGGTAGAGAAGAGGGGTGTGTGGGAGGGGATCGAAGGAAGGAATAGTTACATGATCTCAGCCCCCAGCCCACTCCAGCTGCAGTCTGTAAATCGGAGGCCCCTCCCCTTGGTTCCATCAAAGGTCCCTTCGGGCGAGGTTCGAGAGCTGGAAGATAGGCAGGTCCGGGCTGGAAAGTGGCCTCGCTTTCTCCTCCTCGTCCTCTTCTGGGTCGCTGTCGTCCTCCTCCTCCTGCTCTGGGTCTGCACGCGACCGGCGCTGCTGCTGTGGTGGCAGAAGCGACTGCTGGTCGGCGTCCTGGTATCTCCCGGGCGGGGGCTGCTCCGGCTGGTCCTCTGGCTGCTGCCCGCGGTCCAGCGCGGTCGC